CCAGCAGGGCCCTGCCCCCTGGTGAAGCTCGCTTCCCCCAGCCTCCGTGGTCTCTCAAAGCCGGGCTTCCGGACTGTTTCCGACATCCTGGCCCGTACCCAGGGGGGTTTTCCGCCCGACTTTTTCGGATGGGAGAATTGATGCCGATCGGAAAATGCTGGTGACGATCGTGGAGATGACGTGGATGACAATGAACTTTCGGTGGATAATTCGCCTGATGCCCCCAGTGGTGGCGGCGATGTTCCGCCACCTACCGATCATTCGAGCACACTCGATGGCGAAGATGGCGAATTTTCCGACGGCAACTGGAGCAATCTTGGCCCAGCTCGTCCTCCGACTCCACCTCGGCCAAATCCTTCACCGATGGTTACTTCTCCAATCATAGTCGGCGGTCCGCCTCCTTCGTCACCGGCAAGTCACCAAGCACCACCATCTTCACCTCCTGTTCCGGTGTCTCCTCGTCCGTCTTCTTGGACTCTCGATGCTGGACCTGGGCGCACGATCACGGCCACCTACACTTCGGTGCCGCGTCGTGGTGGTGCACCGTCGGTTGAGCCGTTGCCTCACCAAGTGTTGCCTGGGGCTCGCCCTACGGTGCCGGCTTCGTCCACCTTGCCACCGTGAGTTCTTCCGTACTTGGCCATGGCGTTTACTGACGCAGGGGCCAAGAAGTGTTTCGAGCGACTCTTAAGCATGACCCTCCCCGAACCAACTGGTGAGGTGACCGTCCGTACGACGTTGGAGGGTCTCCAAGCGTACTTTGACTATTCGCATCCTGATCATCCGTACCAGCAACTTCGGAAGCTTTACCCTCTTCAAGCGTGTCTCTTCGACACCGTCGACCTCGATCCTAGCGTTCCCATCTCAAAGCGTGCTCCGATTGAGACTCGTCTCAAGATGATCTGGTCGAACCTTCGGGGTGACGGCGGTAAGCAAGGTGACTTCGGGTTCGCGTTGTGGGAGCGTCTCCACTGGCTTCCGTTGGTTGGCATTGAGCGAGGTCTCGTCGAAGAAGCCAAGAAAGTCGGTCACGACAAGGAGATCTTGAAGGAACTGAGAGCTCTGTTGAAGAAGCTCTTCAGTGAGCTCGACCGTCGTACCGATCGTCTCCGTAACAAGTACCGAGAACAATACATGGCGTGGCGTCGTGACTCGGTTTCTTTCGGTACTTTCGACACGTCGTTCATTCGTCCTGAGTTGCTTTTGGAGCCGTCGCAGCCATGGTACCCGATCGAGAACTTGTCGTTCGGACCTTGGACATCTGACTGGCTCTCCGAAGTTCCGGCTCTCGATGCTCGTCAGCCCTGGCGTACTGGATGAATGAATGTGCCGCATAAGCACCCGTACAACATCACGTACTTCCCGTGCCAGTGTAATCCGGAGCTCTTCAATCCTCGTGGTACGCGTTTCGTGGATGTGTACCGAATCGTGCTTGTTGATCCGTCTCTGGATTCTAATGAATTAATTCCGACCTGGCGTTCGTTGTTTGACTCGCCACTGGTTACTCCACGTCCCGCTCTGGGTGCTCCTGTTAAAGCTGGTGCCGAGGATTTGCAGGCTCCGGCTGCGGCTCCAGCTGCCGAGGTTTAGGTTCCCGATGAAGAGGAGAAGGAGAAAGGGGACTCAGCTTCATTGGCACTCTTGGCTACCGCCGCCAGGCAATTGGGATCGCTTAGAAATCCTTTCTGCATGCTCCACGACGCTCTACAAT